ACCACATTTCTCTAGTCCGAATGACATCCCAATGTCAGTGCTGTAGATCCTGGTGTGGGATCAGTGAGTCGATGTCTCGCTCACACTTGGCGTACAGCTTGATGTCATCCATGTAGAGGAGGTGACTGATATTGGCCCCATTTTTGAGTCTGTATCCGTAGCCAGTCTTGTTGATAACTTGGCTGAGGGGGTTCAGGCCTATGCAGAACAGTAGCGGGGACAGAGCATCTCCTTGGTATATGCCACATTTGATGGACACTTGTGCAAGTGGTTTGCAGTTGGCTTCAAGGGTGGTTTTCCACAGCCTCATCGAGTTTGCAATGAAGGCTCTCAGAGTCCTGTTGATGTTATACATCTCTAAGCATTCAATGATCCAAGTATGCGGCATTGAGTCATAGGCTTTCTTGTAATCAATCCAAGCCATGCACAGGTTGGTGTGTCGGGTTTTGCAGTCTCGGGCAACTGTGCGGTCTACGAGGAGTTGGTGTTTGGCTCCTCTGCTATTTACACCGATACCCTTCTGTGCCGTGCTCATGTGTTTATCCATGTGTTTGCTTATCTTGGCCGCTATGATGCCTGACATGAGCTTCCAGGTTGTGGAGAGGCAGGTTATTGGTCGGTAGTTGGGTGGGACTGGACCCTTTGATGGATTCTTCTGGATTAGGATTGTCCGCCCTTCAGTTAACCATTCAGGGTGAGTCCCGCTTTGTAGCAGCTGGTTCATTTGGGCTGCCATTCGCTCATGGAGAGCAGTGAGTTTCTTTAGCCAGTAGGCATGGATCATGTCAGGCCCTGGTGCTGTCCAGTTTTTCATACCTGAGACTCTTTCTTGGACATCTGTCACAGTGATGGTTACCGGGGCTTGCTCAGGGAGGTTGCTGTGGTCCTCTCGTAGAGAGATCAGCCACTGTGCATTGCTGTTGTGGGACGCCTCCCTTTCCCATATGCCTTTCCAGTATTGTTCCGTCTCCAGCCTTGGTGGGTCTGCTCTGTTGTTATTGTTACCCTGCCATTGAGAGTACACCTTAGCTGGTTGAGTGGAGAAGAGCCGGTTAATCCTTCTGGATTCATTCTCCCTTGTGTATCTCTTTAGGCGGCTGGACAAGGCTTGGAGCCTCTGTTTGGCAGTCTCGAGTGCTTCAGGTATGGGCATCTGCCTGTACTTTCTGGGTACTGGTCTTTTCATTGCACCCTTGTGGAGCTCTGACAGTTGGCTCACTTCCTTCCTTGTTACCTTGATTTTAGCCTCTAACCGTCTTTTCCATGGTGGGTATTGGGTCTCATGGTTGCTCTTATAGCCAAGTATCTCAAGGATCACTGATGCTGAGTTGTAGATCAGCTCATTGGTTTCTGTTATGGTGTTGGTAGGGATCGTTCTCAATGCTGCATTCACATTCTCAATGAGACTTTCAGATGGTACTTCACTCAGCCGTTGTAATTGGCGCCGGGGAGGCCTGGTTGTCATTCGGGTCATGATTCTCTCTCTCAGGTCAGCAGCTGTCTCGTTCAGCTCTGTTTCGCTCATTGGGGCCGTGTATCCCCTCACTGGGTGGGGACTTGTAGTTAAGTCCCCACAGTCCTGACATCCGGGTTCCTCCCTTTTGCCGTAGCATTTGTGTTGTATCTCGTCAATCTCAAGTTGTGATAGCAGTTGCCGTTTGCGGATGTTGGAACACTGAGCTACTAGTTGTTTGGCGCTTAGTGTTGACTGGGGATGTCGAAGTAACCATTCCTTCCCCAGTCTTTGCATGTAACCCCTCTGACTAGGGTTACTTGAGTAGTAGCATTCCAACAGATCCACATTTTCATCTCTCGTCCATTTCCGTCTTGTTCCAGTAGCCCATTTGTCATCAAGGTGCTCTGGTTCCCCAACACCTGACGCAGACCTTGTTTGGCCGGGCGACGTCTGAGCCGGCATGTTATGCAACTTAGTATCTCTCATGGTATGAGGTAGGCAGTAGCTTGAAGGGTCTTGCCTAAGGACCCAGACTGGATTCGAACCCTGTCCTCTCGGGTGATATACTGATGCCTTATGTATTGAGCTATCCAGTCAATACATATATATATATATATATATATATATATATATATATATATATATATATATATATATATATATATATATATATATATATAAAGCTTAAATAGTTCAATTTAAAATTAGCCAAATGTTTCTTATTTGATTAAACAATTAATCAGTTCCTAAAGTTGCAATTATTATAAGCCATTTTTATGTTTGACACTGCAAGTAGGCTATGCTGCAAATTAGTTTACTGAAACCCGTGGATATTTTTGCACTGGTGCCACACAAGGCAGACCTAGCGCCGCTGTGACGAGATATAATGTGGCTTTTTGTTTATCTTAACTCTCAAACCTGGCATTTATGCTTAATTGTGCTCCAGTTATGACTGTCAAAGTCGTGGATTTAGCCAATTGTTGTCTTCTGTGACCAAACTAACTACTATTAGAAAATCAGGCAATTTATATCCTTAAATACCTGGAGAGAAACTAGACTTTGCTGTCAGCACATTGCATCGTCTGACATTCATGTAGTGAGACACAAACTAACCGAGATCCCGATAAACAGCTTATCACTGCAGATGTTAACACTCGTTGGAAATCACACTGCCAAATTGAATTTGTGACAAGGACAGAACATTTCTTTTGATATTTTATTTTTATTTACCAATTCTAACTTGGAAAAATCCAGAGAAAGTTGCAATTCCACCTTGAGAAATCAACTTCCTGAATCTCAACACGCGATCTAAAAATCTGACAAAATCCTCACACTTAAAAATGTCTGACGCTTTGGTAATGTGCTGCTTATTTACACTTTTTAATCTCATCGTTTGAGTCACATCCATCATGTTGCAAAGCTGTGTTTATGCATTAAGTCACTGGTTTTCAAACTGGGATCTGGAAGCTGGCAGAGAGGAACCCGACGCTCACTCTTAACTCCTGAAGCACAGCAAACCCTGACAACTTAAAAATGCCACTTGGGGAATTTTTGAAAATATTTTTTCCAAACAGAAACTCAGAGACCCCAACTTGGAAGTTTTAAATTCAGAACACACTCAGCCAGCATGTTAATAAAACGTTGATGGAGCTTCGGCGCCGATTCAAGGTGCGTGTTTGATGCCTACATTTTTAAAAAGGAAGCTGGAGGAAATTTAGAGAGGAGAGCAATTTGAAGCATGTCAGGGAAGTGTGGGTTTGAGACTCTCTCTCTCTCTCACTGTCTTGGCAGTGAGAGAGAGAGAGTCCTGTGAAAAAGACAAGATGACTGTTGAAAGAACCTGAAAGACAGAGCTTGAGATAGGGGAGCAAACAGTCTGAGCCTGTTTCATCACTTAATCCCCGAATTTCTTTAATTTCCTTTCCCTGCTGTCTCAGACATCAGCCACGAAAACCCCAACTTCACCGAGGAGAATCGCAGACACAACCCAACTCAACTCTCCATCACTCGTCAGGTCATTGCATGTCTGTCAGTATTGCAATGTTTTATCACGTCCCAAAACACAACGCAGTCACAGCCTGCAGAGAGGTAATCAGGCAGAAATTAAACAGTCAACTGAATGCGGCTAATCAGTCGGTGCTCTCGCTGATTTCGAGTTATTAACACCAACTGAGCTCATAGTTCTTCCACAGCGATAAATTAAATAAGGCAGAGACACGCCAGAGCTTCAGAGTCTGCTGAAAACTAAAGGGGAGCTTTTTCCCGCAAAAAATAGTTCAATAGTGAAGGATTAACCGACTATTTTTTAAAGATATTTTTTCCGTTACACTCTTAGATGAACCTGATGGGTAGTTTTTTATATTAGGCCGTGTCTTTAATGAGGATTCCTCTCCAATATTGATCTGCCTCATTTAAGATCAGCCATTTGCTGAGCCTGAGTCACATGTTACAGTTAAAGCTGACAGAGAGAAACTCTTGTGCGCTTAAGAATCTCTGTACCTTTTTATTTGAAACTAAAGTGGGTCACCCAGTGTTTCCTCCAACCGTGAACCGTGAGGGGAAATCCCAGATTTGTTCGATTCACAGCCTAACATAGAGAGCACGCTTCAATAAGCGGTGAGTTTACAAATCTACACAGAATATCTCGCCCACGTTCGTCATTCGCTGTGTTTCCATCACCAAATGCTCGCAAAACCTTTTTGATATTCCACAAAGGCCAAAAAAGAAAAACAATACCATTTCGCCAAACGCTGTTTGTCCGCTGGGTAAGAAAACACAATTAAAATCCTATGTGAATAAGTTCCTTCACTCAACACGCCATCAAAAGCCCAGTCATCCTCCTCCCAGCTCTTCGTCGTTTCCATCACGTGACTCCTGTGAAACGTTTCTTACTCTCATTTCGACGCAGTCCGATCAAACCGCGCAACTGGTTTGGAATTTGAAGATTTGCGAAGACTTAAAAATCCTTCACCGTTACTTTCTGAACTGAAGCTGAACAGTTCATTTATTGTCCCGAACTGAAGGAGTTTCATCATCGTGGTGCTTCGTCACCACAATGATGGAGCTGTGAAACGGCGTGCAGAGCTATCCGAAACATGCTGCCGTTTCCTTCAGGAGCATGATTTGCGTTCCAGCCTGCCTGGTCCTCTTCTCGCCATATTTCATGTTACATGCTCATGATCCCCTGCATGTGAAACTCGTGCCTCCGGGGCTTCGGTATGTTGCTGTGAGAGTCGTTCATGCTGGCAGCTAACCGCAAAATAAAGACTCAAATGTCAGAATGGTAGAAACACTGGAGTCAGAGTCTTAATTCAAAGTCTAACCGTTTAATATTCATAATCTGCTAATGTTTTATTCTCTTAAAAGTATGGAGAAATGATTCTCAGGGAGGAGACTGGATCTTTGAGTGGAAGGTGATTTGGTAGAGTGGAGATCTTAAGTGTTTTCTGTCTCGTTCTATGGTTTTCAACGTGGCTGGAAGAACGTCTCGGTGTCCACCGGTTCCTGCTTTCCAGTCTCACCTTTGCTTTTGGCTTCTTCATAGGTATCAACAAGGGAAGCTGCTTTTGGATCAATCACTTTCCGGAGGATAACGACTACGATACAGACAGCTCAGAGTACATCTTACGTAAGTCTGTGCAACAGCTTCATCTTCAAACACTCCAGCTTTTAATCCACCGTCGTTTTATTTATTTATTTTTTTCCCCCTCTGTGATGATGGAGTTATCACAAGAGTGCTTAATGTGTCATGACATCTCTATCCCCCCAATAAAAGCCTGATGTCATGACGGGATGCAGCTCTGCTAGAAAATGAAGCGTTGTGTGAAGAGTGTGAAACAAAGCTGACTTATGTGCCTATGAATGCCAAAATCTCGTTTGATGAAAAAAGATGGGTTCAGTGTCAGATGTTCGTGAATAGGGCATCCCATTAAGTTACTTAGTTCTTTATTTGGAAAGGTTTACAAATTGACATGTGATTTTGTGGCGCGTTCACGCCCAACGCGTTTTGAGCGACAAGCGCATCTGGTTTACGTTCAAAATCTATGTGGAGCGTTTGGTGTTAACGCACCACAAGGGTTAGATTCACTTTAAAAAATCAAAGTAAACTTTTCTCGTTAAACAAAATACATGATGAAAATTTTGATTTCTCAGGAAACAATTGATAAGAAAAAAACACCTGAAGGTTAGAATTGTGATGATATATCAAACCTAAATAACAAAAAGTTTCTATTTCTTCATTTTCTTTGGTTTCTTTGCTGGTATGTTTTGGGTCATTGACACATTGCAGAGTCTGGTCCCACTCCGGCTTAAACTGGTTTTGTTGGGATTCTTTTCACAGATGGCCTCGCATTTTTGTCCAGCACCCTAATATATATGATAGAATGCATGGTGGAAATCACTTACCCAATAGCAGAAGTCCAATTAGCCATTTTCTGGAAGAAAACATACAGGGTGGGCCATAAGTTTCCATACATAAACATTAAATATTGGACAAACATTTTTATTTTTGTGGGACTTTGTGTAACCACTTTGTGGTTGATCTGCAACATTCCCAGTTTTCTGAAACTTGCAAATAAGTTGTGCCACAGTGTTGTGTGTGATGCTGGTTCCATGTTTTGTGCAGCCATGTGACTGCTTCCCAATCCAGCCATCAGTATATTTTCAAATCTTTGCTCTTTTGCCAAATGCATCTTCTTGGGTCTCTGAAATCTATAAGAAATATACATTTTACATTCTCCTATGTATGGAAAGTTATGGTCCGTCCTGTATATCCTCTGTTCGGTCTCGCTAAGTCAATTCAAGACTCGCCTCCATACAGAACATTATTCCAGAAGTCCTGGTCTGTTTTGGCAGATTTGATCTTGTTTCTTCTAGAGCAGTGCGTTCCTTTTAACACACGTTCCTTGGATAACACGTGGAAGTTACTGTAGTTTGTGTGCATGAATGGGTGAATGCAGTTAAGCGCTCTGTGGTCCTATGGACTTGATGAAGTGTTGTACAAGCACCGACCATTTACCATTTAGCATTCAGTGCTGCATGAATCAGCCAGTCAGCATGTGGTAGCCTCCCCCACATTTCCCACACCCTGTCTGGTGCAGCAGTTCACCACCGTCAAGCCACAAAGCCGTGGCAAGCAAAGCAAAAATTAATATTGTGTGCTAGGAACAAAGCAGACGCGGTCATACAGTTGGATAGGTGGGGCATCAGCTAACATGGAGTAAATCATTGCAAAATGCCAGGTTTTCATTTTTTTTTTTCTGTTTTCTGCCAAACTGTCCTGTGTTGGTCATGTGTCCAGACTAAGGCCTGGTTTCAATTTCCCAAAGTTTTGTGGAAGAAGATATTATGGTCTGATGACACAAAGCTTTTAACTTCTGTGGGACCACCTTGATCCGACGTCGCGTTTTTTAAAATGGAACCGGATTTGTTCTCAAAACGTTTGAAATAAGGTTCCAAATACTGACAATTTTGACGACGTCAAAACTGAACGTTTCTCCCTGTTTTTATCAGTCGTTTACTGTATGGTGTCTTTTCTGACTTTGTTCTATTGCGTTTTTGGGACATGAAGCGCGTTGAACTGCCTTGTTGCTAAAAACATGTGCTGAACAAATAAACCTTATTGATTAAATCGGACGCGATTGTTTCCAAAAAGGTTGTGGTTTCACACTTCTACCATCCCCTGTGTGTGCCCTCGTTAAGCACGCCAACGTCGGCCATTAACGTTACATGCTGCTTCACTCTCTCTGTCATTTTGGTGCAGGTATAGTCCGCGCATCGAGCCTCTTTCCGATTCTCAGCACCGTCCTCCTGATGCTGGGTGGCCTGTGTGTCGGAGTTGGACGTTTATACACCAGGAAGAACAACATCTTGCTCAGCGCAGGCATCCTGTTTGTGGCTGCAGGTAGGACAAGTGTGACAGCTGGCATCTCACACACACACACACACACACACGACCCCCCCCCCCCACACACACACACACAATGTTTGTGATGTTAAATATGTTCTACCCAAATATACTCTGAAAGAAAAAGGGATTTACTTTTTATTTTTATTCGTGATTCTTGTAAATATCACAGAGAACAGGAAAAGGGTCGGTCTTCTTTACATCCACATGCTGTTGTCACAACAGAAAGCAAGAAAATTTACACATCGTGTCAAAATCTGAAGGCAGAGTTTCTCTTTTTAGCTTTTACCAACCACCACCTGCCTTCCTGTGCCTCTCTACAGGCCTCAGCAACATCATCGGCATCATTGTTTACATCTCCAGCAACGCCGGGGATCCCAGCGACAAGAAAGATGAGGACAAGAAGAACCAGTACAACTACGGCTGGTCCTTTTACTTCGGCGCCCTCTCCTTCATCGTGGCGGAGTCGGTGGGCGTACTCGCCGTCAACATCTACATCGAGAAGAACAAGGAGACGCGATTCCGGGGCAAGCGGGACTTCATCAAAGCCACCTCGTCCTCTTCGCCGTACTCCCGCATACCGAGCTACCGCTACAGACGGAGGCGCTCGCGCTCCAGTTCCAGATCGACCGAGCCGTCCCGCGAAGCTTCCCCCGTGGGAATGAAGATGGGCGGTGGGTCTGGAGGCGTGGGGCTGGGGATGGGTCTGCCCATGGGGGATATATCCATGTACACTCTGAGCAGGGACCCTCTGAAGGGCGGAAGTGGGCCCGCGGGGCCGTACAGTCCCGAGAGGAACACCGGGTTTTTACAAGTGCACAACTGCTTCCAGAAGGACGTGAAAAACGGAGCGAATCGGAGGACGACCCCCGTATGAGGCCTGGGTCTCGTTCCTGGGTTGAGCGGTGCGCTTTAGTAAATGTTGCGCCGCTGATGAGAAACAACAGTTTGTCACGCGACACATAAGAAAGTGTGTGGGAGTACGATTTTATTCCATGCCGAGGTGAAAGAAGTTGGGACAGTTCACGTTCCAAGAACAGAATTAAGTTTACAAAACTACATGAGCTTCTCCAGCATCAGGTTTAAAGGGGCAGTATTATGCATTTTCCAGGCACATAGAGTCTGGAAACATGACTGAAGAAATTTGACTTTCTTACTAATTACAAATTTAACACCTTGAAATTGAGCGCCTGTCTCTTTAAAAACTGAAACTCCGCCTTCAGGAAGTCATTACAATGGTGCTCCTTTTTTAACCCTTTTAATAACGTTTTTAACCACCATTTCACAGAGAAATGTAAAACAGGACAGCTAATTGCTGCTGGCTAGTCTGAAGGTGCCAAGTCGCGGGGCAGGTCTGCTCTGTGAGGCAGAAGCTCAGAAACCGCAGCTCCGAGGAGGAGCTCCTCAATCTGGGATCTGGGTCTCTCCAGGTGTTTTGAACGGTTGCCATTAAAGGGTTTTTCAAAAGTGCATGAAAAAAAAGAAACCAAGGGAGCATTACTGGTATGTTTATGATGATGGAATAACATTATAACATGATTAAAAGGTCAAAAAATGTTGATTTTACATAATACCGCCCCTTTAAATAGTGGCCCCATGTAGCTTTGTTTCATGAAGGCCGTGTTAAAATATTTTTACTACTTGGAAAGACGAAGCTCAGAGAATGTTCTCAGTAGGCGATTAATTTACAGGAAATAAGGAGCAACTTTCACAGACTTGATTTTGAGTTCAATTCAAAGCATCAAAATATTTTTTTTGTGTTTTTCTTGTGAAATACTGTTTTTGAAAATTAACCGCTTTCACTGTTTTGATGTGTTTTCGTCTCCAGTACTTGGTTTGCTCACATTCTGTGACCTCTCTCAAAGACGTCTCATGCTGAAATCTGCCACTAAAACACAGACGGTGCTAACTTGCCTTCTTAGCTCTACAATTTAAATGCTTTCACCGAATCCCATCACTCCTGTGTGGCGCTTGAGCAGACGTCACGTGGTCGGTGTAGGGGGGAGTATGTGCTTGTGTGTTCAGTGGCTCCGAACGCAGCATAACTAAAACGAAACTATGAATTTGTGTAAATAAATGTGAATGAAATTGCTGGCAGTCGTGACGTACGTTCCAACAGGCTGCGCAGGTTTCCGGCGTAAATGTTATTTACATGTGATTTGCTCTCGATGTGCTCAGGGACGATGCGCGGAACAAACGGGTTCCTCACTCAAGCCAGACAGACTGTTACCATTGGTTTGTGTAAGAACAACAAAAATAACATAAGGTCACACGTTTAGGGATGTTAACAAATGAGGAGATATTTTATGCCATTTCTTTTCCCCCAGAGTGTTTAAAAGACACCAGTGTCTTACGTGCTGTGGATTGTGGAGATTTAAGCTGATACTGGCTATTTGGAGCAGGATCTATTCCAGAGCAAATCTCTCACCCTTTTGGTGTTTTATTCATCAGGTTAGCTGCACTCTTTATTTTGTTACCTACTGCAGACAGCTGGGAAACAAAAGCAATGTGATATTTTCTAGGCAGATTATGGAGGATTTTCAGGAATTTGAAGGTTGTGGGATACATTTGGCATTCGCCAGTCACGTGAATAAATCTGTGTTTTGGCTAAGAAGATGGTGCCAAATTATTTAGCCATCCTATTTAAATTAAAAATTTATAAATACAGCAAATTTACACAGAAAAAGCTACAATGTAGCTTTTTTGATGCTTTTTTATTTTTTAGATTTTAAACTTTTTTCTTTTTTTTGTCACTAGTGCATGGCGGTGCAAATTGAAATATCAGAGAACTTTGATAAAACATAGCTTTTTTTTCCCTAATTCAAAACTTTGAATTATTAGGCTAACATTAGACACTGTCAACATTGGAACTTTTTTTTTTTCCAAAATGGGTTGCAGTTTCAAAAACATCCATTTCCAGAAATGTTTTCATCAACACAGAATCGCTGAGGACAGCCGAAGTTGCTACTCTTACTCCCCCAGACCTGTAGGTGGCGACAAACATGTAGTCCGGGACGTGTTCAGAGAACCTCCATATGAGATTAGAGCTAAACACAAGAAGAAAGCAAGAATGGCAAACAACAAAACACAACGAGTATTAATCTTGAAGTTGGTTAATGAACAGATGCAGCACAAATATTTACCCCACCGTTGTTGTTGTTGTTACAGCTTGTTTGGTGTTTGAGGTCAGGTTCATTAGGGTTTGTGGGAGGGCAACATTTTCCCATTCTGTAACCCCTTTTCAAAAGAGAAAAAAAAAACATATATAGTCCCTTTAAAACAGGTTTTGTAGTGTGCTAATGATAACTGTTATTTATTAAAAAGCACAGGCACGTGTTAATATATGGAGTTGATTTATTTATTCATGCCTAAATGAATATGATTAGCAAAAACATGAAACAAAACTGAAAAATAATTTAGCTGCCCCTTTATTTAGTCTTTTGCTAAATCTTCTATGCCGAGGGGGTTAAAAAATTCTTAGGAAGTACCAACAACTTACCTCACAATGGTTCATTTCAATTTAGTTTGAGTAGCATTTGGAATGAGTTTGATGTCTTTTTCTTTCTTTCTTTCTTTCTTTCTTACTTTCTTTCTTCCCTTCTTTAACAAATTTTCTCATTTGTAGATGACAGAATATTAATTTGACATGACTGGATTCAGTTGCTGAAACAAAATTGGAAAAACTACCACCAGAAAAAAAATAATGAATTTGCTGGAACACATTTCTGCACATTCCCGTTACCTTTAGTGGGAGCCGTCTGGAGATTTTCTTCAGGCATTACTTTAAAATCACTGGAGATAAACCATCTTCCATCCCAAGCAACAGCATAAAATGTCTTTGAATTCACTCTGTGTGTCACATAATTAGCACCGGGAAACATGAAAACTACACAAAGTGTTAAATTGGACCTTTGACCTTTGACCAGTGAGGGTTTTATATAAACTTGCTCAAAGTGCTTGGAAATCTTCAAGGTTTCTGATAAAATGGTGTTCTTCTTCAGACCCTGTTCCAAACAGCCATCATCTCAGATGAGAATTACATGCCAGGATGACGCTGAAACGGCACACAGCGGCACTTTACAAAAACAAGCCGTCCCTTTAGCTGGGTTATTTTCTGCAGCCGCTGCCTTTTGTGTAAAGAGAAGGTCTTGTACCGGTAGCGGTTTTCTATCACGTCTCAGTGAGTTGACCGACGTTCACAGTGTCGACTTTGAAGAGGCTGAGCAAATGAACCGTCAATAAATTTTGTTGTGTCAGTTTGGAGTGATGTGACTTTCTTTTGCATGATAAGTAGCAACTGATTGGTAACAAATCACAGGGGGAAAAAAACTGTAGAAAATTGGTAAATATCATAGACATCATTTCTTCCCGTTTGGCCATTTTTCATCTCTGTTCATTTGCAATAGTTGCTGTAGAGAGGAAATAGTTTTCTGCTTACACCTGGAAATCGGCGCGCTTGAAGCATTTTTTTCTTGTTAGTCATCTTTAGATTAATAAATAATTACTCTCTCATTTGGAGACGGAGCTTCATTTACTGTATTAGTTGCTTAATTTAAATAATTATCTCTGCCTTTAATTGGCCAGCTGTCAGGTAATGTGAAATAATAACTAAATGGGACATTAATAGCCTATTATTGTACTTTATCACAGCAGAGAATCTGATTCAGTGAGTAAATAGTTTTATTTCCATGTTCCTGTGGTGATTTAGTTCATTTAAGTCCCTAATTTTCAACATAATAAGTGAAAGACGAGGTGATTTCAGAATAAGTTTACAAGTGACTTCGTGACTAAATAAAGTTGGCTGTTATTTGAGAATGTATTATGAAGAATATTTTAAAAATTACCTGCTACTATATACTTCTTTCCTGTTTCTTTGTTGCTCTTGTAGTTTTCTGATTTCTCTCCACTTCATTTATTTCTGTTTTCTTTTGTCTTTCTTTTGTTGACTCCATCTAAACACTGATTTGGAACAACACCGTGTGTTAAAAAGCATGCGATGCTCTGATCTGAGGCGAACCTCATCCAAAGTGGCAGACTAAGAGTGTCTTGTGAGCTTTGATTGACCCGGTCGTGTCTGGCTAACATAGCAGTGCTGATGTGGTTGCTGGGTTCTGGCAGACAGCCAGACAGCACAGGAAACGAAGATCAGCCAACTTCATGCTTGATTGAGCTAACGGGCTCCCAAGAGCTCATCCAGAATTTGAATGGCGCGTCGACAAAAAAGTTGCTGTGTGTCGCGTTGCTGGATCGGATTTTCTGGTTTGAAGCGCGGCTCACGCTCGACTGGTTTCCACGTCTGCCTAATGGTTCGTGTGCTGCTTAGATGCAGTTGTCAGAAGTTGTAATCGGTTCAATTCGGTGACTTCCATGTGTGTTTTAAGGGGTGAATACTCAGCTCCGGCAGCCACACTTGTCATTCCGGCCACTGATGTTTACAAGGAGACGCCTTGAATTAAAACAGACACATTTCAAGTCAGCGTGAGGCTTATATCTATGTTATGGCAAACTGGTTTGATGTCCACGTTTTCCATTCCGGTCATGAATATGAGCCATCCCTCCCTCTCCACTGTTTCTGTCTCTGCCCATCAGTGGACCACTGAGGTCCCGTGGATGCGAATGAATCCTGACTGATATTTTCATCCAGGGGAAAGCTGGCCCACCTCCTGTTGCGTGTCGGTGGAACGTCTCCTCCGGTAATTGAAGGGGAAATGGCAGAGTCACCTCTCCACGCAGTCCCTGGAATAACCAACATGCTTGTTAGCACTCACAACTCACCGCCAGGCTTTATATATAGCAGCGGCTGCATACTTTTTGCTCTCAAACTGATACATGCAGGAGCATAAGAACTTTTTTTTTCTTCCTTCTTCCTTTACAGTCGACGACTTTCTTTCTTTCTTTTTTTTAAGAATTATTTTTGGGATTTGTGGCCTTTATTTGACAGCATGAAGACATGCAGCAAAGGAACCGACAGCCAGCCGGGATCTGTAGCTCGTGCGTAGGGCCGCGCGCTCCCACCACTGCGTCACGCCACGCCCGACATTCAGCATTTTTATCAATTCATTGGTGATAATGACTTTCGACCAGATTATTTCGCCGTAGCACACGGTGTGCTGCACACCTGCCCAGTCTCCCGTTTTGGCCACATGAAACCACATGTCTCACTCCCGTTTCCCGCATGTGCTCCCACATTCCCACACTGCATAAATGACGTCACAACAAAGTGCAGTTTGACATAGTTCCAAAATGCAGAATGTTATTTATTGACATCACATTAAACTATATAATACAGTACATTTACAACATATACAATGTACATATATTTGAAAATCTGAAATGGATCCAGAGTAATCCACATATCAAATAAAAACAAGATTTTTTTTTTTATCTTCCCAGCAATAGGAAGATCAATAGGATCACAATTGAAATTTAGAAAACCCGAGAAGAAGAAGAAAACAAATGGACTGGTAAACAGAGCTAATCAGTCTTAATGAATGCAGCCGTGCGTCACGACTCATTTCAATCATTTAGATTTACCGGCTCGGCTACGGGCCACGCGCGATTAGTCCACCGGACGAGGTCGACTCTGTCGGAAGAAATGCGAAGCACCCACAGCTTCTCTGAGGACTCGAACTGCCAACTCTCAGCTGTCTGGCGACAGCGTCAGTGTGGCGGAGGGTCAAAGGGTCAACCCAGTCAATGTCCTGCGGGTCAAGGTGTTGCTGCTCTTTTGAAAAGTCCCTCTGTCACGTCATCCCGACTGGTTACCATGATGATTAAAACTTCTTCCAGACGTGATTTCTCTCTTAACTTTGTCAGAAATCAGAGTCCGAGTTGCTAAACTCTTTACTTCAGGGACAGATGAATGTTTAATGAATTTCCCGTCTTTAGAGTTTTAACATCAATTCCTGTGTTTACTGGTAGCTTCCAAAGTAAATCAGATTTTTTTGTTTGTGTCTTTAGCTCTGTTAATTATGGGCGATCATGTCTTAGTTTGATTATTAATTTAATTTTTATTTTCTTTAATCTCAACCCCATGGTGATGTCTCTCATCATCAGTTGAACAGCGTTTTGTGCGTTGATCATTTGTGAAAAACGCACAGCTTACTGCACAGAAAACATGGAGGAGACTGCGAAACAGTAATGAAAATAAATACTCTCTCCAAGTGATTTTTGATCACCTGTGAGAGTGAATGGTTTTTAAGTATCTATACCATTTATTACTGTTCAATATTTGACTTTGAGCTGCTGTTAAACAGACCCAATGTGAGCCGATTTCCCACAGGAGAGCTACGAAAAGGACGGAAACGTTATTTGAAATATCCCTTTTCCTGCAAGTTGAATTTCATTCTCTCTTTTGCATGTCTGATGTTTAGTGTCTGACAAAGCCGAATGGGCTCTTTCAATAGATTTAAACGCGTCAAAAGGTGCAGACATTTTCACAAAAAGATTCTACAAAAATTGGGTGTTTCTGTATTTTTCATGAACCTCCATGAAGTTATTTAAATGACTCAGAAACATGGCCTTTTCGAACTCGTCCTCTGATCATTAAACATTTTCAAAAGACAAACAAAAAACCTGAAATAGGAAGGACTTAAGTAGTTTTTCTGGGAGAGATTGTGATTGAAATCTACAAAACATTATTTTTGAAAGATAGCAGGTAGTAAAACATTACAAATGTATGTTTGTTTAGAGCTTGCATTGCGTGTGCATGTTAGAGTTGCAGCTAATAACGCCCTTTGTAAGTAGGTTTGTTGTTGTTTTGTGTGTTTGATTATTTTTTAACAGTTTGTAGTGTATCATTTCTGGACTTAATAACCTAAAATACCAGTAATTTTGCCCAACAACAACTGCATCAAACAGAATTCTAACAACCTTAATTTTTACACACATCTTAAATGTAGGCCTCTTTTTAACCCCCGACTTGATCACTACAAACACAACCCAAAGCGCTGATCAATGGGAGAAGAGTCCAGGGTTATGAACGTACCGTACCGAGGAAGAACAGAAGCAATCGAGAATGCGATGAACAGCCGCAGACAAAAACTGTCGAGAACTGTGTGTCAAAAAACGCGGAAGGCAAATGCAACGGTTGAAGGATAGGCAGGGTCAGCGAACAGCTTCATAGCTGGGACCGATGACAACAGATGATCTCACACTGAACCCGAAGGAACCTGGCAGGTGGAGGTAAGCAGCGAGATCAGATCCACATGAGGGAAACAGGAAGAGCGAACAACGAGCCAGGAGAAACGTCGGGAGTGAGAAAACGGACCGATCGATTCATCATGCGCCCAGAGTAATCCACATATCAAATCAAAACAAGTAAAAAAAAAAAAGTCCAAGCAAAATAGGTTGAAATTTGTTGTCACTTAGAAGTGTTGGTTAAAAACAGCTGCTGTCCCAATTAATAATTTATCAAAAGGTTTTCCTTCACAGAGCATGATTGCCTCTAAGCGTGCTCACTGCGCAAGACTCCACTGACGAATAAAAAGAACCTGAAGCCTGCCACAAGAGATTTGGAGAAGCCAAAGAAACAATCGATGCAACGAGGAACTACAATAGTTTGAAGAAACCACCTTTGAGATCAGGGAAAGACAAGACGAATGGAGAAAAGAACCAGGATGTTGGCGATGAGAAGTTGATGAAATTAGAGTGAATTTCTCAGCGAAACGATGACTGCAAACATTTGAGCAAGGAAACTACCTGTTGGTTATACATCTGCTAAGATGAGCTTGGTCATCCTTCAACTTGAACCAAATTTTAAATCTATTGAAAAAACTGACGGTCAGAGTTCATCGGGAAAGGCTCCCATAACTGTCAAGATTTAAAGGGAGTTTAAAGTTGCCATCCCAAACAAAGTACTGAGAAAAAATAAGCATGTTTAGCTCTTCCCTGTGCTTTTCCATCATTATACACAGAACAATTTAGGAACTAAACTGTTTTCTTTGCGTCAATTTCGTCAATTGTTACTCGATTCAAATAATTTCAGGACTTTTGAAAAGATTTAGTTGGTTCATGGAAACCTTTTCGTCACTGCTGCCTAAACCGGTTCAGTATTCCTATAATTGCGCTGTGATCATCTGACACGCATTCCATAGGGTCAGGAATGCAGCTCTCTGGAGTTTATCCGTTTCCGTGAGCATGGCATGATCCGACCTTTGGGTGACCTTGCTGGAGTCTTCCACTGGGACGACTGGCAGCCTTGTTGGATGTTTTTTCCAGTTGTGAGTAATCTTTCTCACTGCAGAATTATGAACTCAAATTACTGGAAAATGACCTTCCATCCGTTCCCAGATTTATGAGTATCAACAGTTGCTCCTCCAAGGACACGGCTGATGGTATCGCGCAACTGCGGCAATACAAATGACTGATACCGACGGGATTGGTGAGCAGTAGGGTTGGGACAGTTTCAAAATCCACAGTCTAGTTTCAGTCACATTTTTTTCAGAACTCCAGAAATACGTTAGCAACAGATAATGAGTCAAATTCAGCTTTTGAAATGTCAGTCATTCCAAGGATGTGTCATAACGTAATCTAAAACCAGTGAGGCATTTAAATGTTGTGATACGTCTGAGGTTGGTTCTGATCCTTGGGTAATAAATAGCAGG